GGGTACGGGTATACCCGATACCCGACAGGGACGAGAATGGGGATGAAAATCACATACTCAACAGGTACGGGTACGGGTACGGGTACGAGGATGGGTTTATGTCACGGGGACGGGGACGGGTATCATAAAACCCGTACCCGACCCGCCTCGTTGCCATCCCTACCCTCATCTCCTCAGCCACCTGCAACACTAAATATATCTCACCATAACATAAGTTATGCTAGGAAAAGTTACTAGTAAATATAGCTGAGGTAATGCCAGAAAAGTTACAAACCCAGTGGCTGTTATGCAAACTATAAATCATGTCAGTGTTATGATAATATGTAGTAATTCATGTATTGTGCATCAGCAGAATGATATTTCAACATCCCAGATCTTCAGTTTTACATAAGTAAGAATGATGGGACCAAAACCAACTATTATGTAGGCACAGAAAATTATCCACAAGGTTCATTACCTCAGGGGTATCTGTCCAATGCGAGATGCCTTTTAAGAGTAGAGGCATGTGTGCAGGATACAACCAATCAAATAGAAATCCATACGTTCGACGGCTAAGAAATACAAATATGAAAAACATTAAAACAGATATATATTAACAGCTTTCCTCGGCTTGAATAACAGAAAACAGCATAACTGCCAACCTGTTTGTAGCCATTGCAATTCCTCGAAGGTCCCTCATCAAACCAACAAGTGCATACCTTACAGCATCAGCTCGAAATACTGAATCAGGAGTTGATTCCAAACTGAGAAAAACCTAAAAAAGAGAAGGAAAAAAAATCATACTTTGTGCACCAAGACATGTCATGCAGAACATAAGATCCAGTCATATTTATGCAACTAGTAATGTTAAAATATTTTATTAACTGCACAATCCAATCTGAATTAATTAGGCATGACATGAAAAATGACCATACAAGCATATTAATGAGATGGGTAACGGAATACCTGCTGGAGTGGATCCATTGAAGATTTAAATTTCACAGGGCTATCCTCCATGAATATCAACCAGCCAATAGTGTAATAGAAAGTCGTTCTGCTGCGAGTGCATCTCTTTGCTTCCAAAAATGGAAAATGCTCCCTCTGAGATTAATTATAGAGACAAAAGAATTAGAAAAAAGACACAGATGAATCTAATTCTACAACAAAGAGAAGTTGAGAAATAAAATGGTGGAGAGCAGGAGGGAAGAAATACAACACTACTGTCCAATCTCAAAGAATAAAATCAATGTTATCATCTTTTTCAACAGAGATATAACTTCATTAGAAGCAGAAGAGGGGAGGTGTAGCCAAAAGGAGAGAAAAAAAACCCTCCAAATAAAAGAGTACAAAGTACTTTAAAAAATCAAAATTTGCACCAAGGCAGCCAAGTATTTTCATATATGTAAAATGGAAACTCCCTTGAAGCAAACATGTGCTGAAATATTTAGGAAGACCATAAAACAACACTGCCCCAAAGTTGAGGGGCAGAAAGATGCCCTCTGACATTGCACCCATTTCACTCCGATCAAAAGCATTAGAAGACACATTCTCATGCATGAGGCAATGCTACATTATTAAAAATGCTGGTCAGTGTATCAGCTGCCTGTCAGTGAGGACTTCTCATGTGAAGCTCAATTTATGTTTACAATTTATATTGATATGTCATTGTATCAGCTGCACAGTAAATTACAATCCTAGAGAAAATTAATGAGCAAATGAAAAAAAAGATATTCTACCGTATGATTGGCAACAATAAATTTCACTGCATCCAACTTCAGAAGTAGCTTTCCAGTCATGTAGCTGTTGCAAGAGAAATCAGTTAAATTGGGTTGCTTGGTCTAAGTGCTAACTACAAAATAAGAGGTAGCTAATATTCATCAATCAAACTAAAACTAACCCAGATGCAAGTTCCAAAAACAAACTCAAGGTGTGATCAATGACCTCTTCACTCTGAAATTCTCAAACACAATTAGTGTGTTAAATCAGGAAAGACTTTTAAGATAAGAAAACAAAAAACACAAGCTAAAAAATCACCTCTGTGTAGCACTTAAGGTTAGTCACAATCTTGCCAATAATCACATTCAACAGCAATAGATGATCGTGTAGGCCAAGAAGTTCAGATAACCGGGCATATAACTGCTGCAACATAAAATCTATAAATGAACAGATGCATAGAAAGCTAAAACTATGATCACTATGCCTTTTTATATATAATGCATGGGTACTTCAATTTGCGAGCCATATCAGTACAATGCATTGGCTATACCTGGGTAAGTAAAAATTTATTAAAAAAAATGGGAATGATTTCAATGTAACTGTACACCTGGGTCTGCTTCAAGTACTAAGTTTGGATCATTTTTGGTTAAAATTAGATATTTTTTCCCTTTCTTTCAATGTCCCATTATATATTTCTTCTGGGACACGTGCTGACATAGGTTGGCTGGTTGGGAACAGTAACCTACCTAGCAACAGTAGTGCACAATTGGAAGGATTTAGCACATCAATTTGGGTTAGCTAACTTTTTTTATTACAAATATTTCACAATTTACAGATATATTATTCCATTATGTTCTTTAAAATTTATATATTTTCATCATTTATATAATTTTTTCATTTTTATTAAATAAAATTCTGTTTCCCATATACTACATACATGAGTGTGTGTCTAAATATACAAATATCAATACACACACACACACATATATATATATATAGTTTAATGGTCATTTACTTACAGTATAAAGCAATTTTACATTGATAACTAATTAGATATCACTGTTGCTTTGACTTTTTAGTTATTAATTGTGAAAGTCAAAAAATTACTATATATAACAGTTTGTGATTAGATGACAATGTAAAACAATTTACACTAACACTGCATAACTTATTTTCTCACAGACACACATAAAAAATTTTAACATCCATACTCAATTTTTTTAAATGGCATACTCTGCATCTGTAATTCTGTATCCATACTATTTACAGATTATCCATGCAAGATGGCTTATTCCCAATAATCAAAATATTTTATTACCTTGGAAGAGTGAATAGCCTGGTCTCCTACATAAGACTTTCGGAAATGCTGAAAGAAAGTAAGAATTGCCCTATCTAGTCTTTGTTTGCTAATCTCAACATACCTCTGTCAAATGCCAATAAGATGAAATAAGAAATACATTCTTCTAAATTACATCATTAACTAAATTTATAATCAAGAAAAACAAAAGAAAAAAACAATACCAAAAAAAAGTAAGATAAAGACAAGAAGAGAGATTTCCATTCTGTAATTGAATTAATAGAAAAATACTATGTATGATAGTTCCCAGACCAAGTGATTTCCACTGGTTGCATGTGAACCAATCAGTTACAATGAGAAAAATAAGAGACAATAGAAGGCACTTCATTTATCACATAAGATTCTTACTATGCAATAAAAAATAGAGTAAAACCACGTCTGGAAGATACACTAGTTATAAACTTCACCATTTATAGGTTAATTTCATCGTATTGATCACCGTAAAGTTCAAATATTTTGGTAGGAAGGCCAAATTTGTGGCAGTGTGCACTTCATGATAAGCCCATGAACCTAACAAGGACAGTACCATCTCTGAATTATGACATTCTGAATTTTTATATTGTCCTGCAACATTTTTTTAGACAGATGATGCCTTGTGCTCACCAACTCTGTACTTGAACTTTTGTACTCCCCATCTTTTTTAATTAAAAGGAATTTTCATACCAGAAGTTATTTACACTAAAGAAAGCAATAGATCACCCTTCAGCAAACAACATAAATACAAATTACTAAACATAAATGTCCTAACATACAACCAAATTCATTTTTCAATTAGTTTTATGCTGTGTCGTGATGCAAATTTAATGAATGGAACAGAGATAATTCATGTTCCAAGCCATGCAAAAAAAAAATGTTGTGCAGTATACCTGACTGTGTATTCCGCTGTCAGTTACATTAATTAACTGTAAAACTCGAGCTGAAAGTTCAGCATCAAGTACTTCCTGGGACTCAACACTGCATATAAAAATGTTAAAAGTAAATAAGACTACAAACAAGTTGATACATCATATGCTATGAAGACTGCTCAGAACTTATTTGGCGGTCCTCCATATTCCAAATTTCCAATTTGCAAAGGCAAGAGCTGAAAAGGTTTTTACCTACAACCAGTACACTGTTTTATCTTAAGAATTGCAGCAATGATATGAACAATCCAAGCAAGTTTATCTTCAATCACAGTGAGGTCACTGTTATCAGGAACATGTAATCTTGCTCTTTCCTATTCCAGTCATTAAAAATAGTTAAGCATCAATCTTTAATTCATTTCTCTCAACAAAAAAAGTACCAGCCTTCATTGAAAGTTATAATCACACCGTGTATATTTGCAGGACTGGCTCCATTATGTTTATTATAAATAAACTACTGCTTTCATACTGCACAATGAATTCAAAGGAGTCAAACAACCAACATAGTTCAATAAATTGCAGCAGAACTGAAAAGGACTAAAACTTAAGAATGAAGAGTTTCCCATGTTGGAAGCTAGATTATATTCAGTAAATGAGTAAAAACAATGATATCTGTCCGACTCCTTGATCAGCCACAAGGTTTGGACTCAGTTGGATGAATTAATTCAAAGTTCACTCTTGATGGTCATTTTCTCTCTGGTTGAAAGGTTAACCCCTCTTTAGTAGGTTTCAAGTTTAGAATCAGAAACACTCTAAATACCCTTTTTGCTTAAGATTAACAGCCAATTTTCTCAGTATAATGAATATCAAGAGAATCATTGATTTTGAATATAACAATTTATTATATATATCAGAAAGAATAAGATATCCTATGTAACGAGGCAACATGGTAAACTGAAGGGGGAAAAGGCCATATCCAAAATGTTAGAGTTAGACACCCTTCTATGCATATCAGCTAGAAAGATTCCCTCAAGTAAACCACCGCATATCTGATTTCAATGCAAACTGTAACAGACTCTGTACAAATGGTAATTTTTCATTTTCAACTTTCTGAGGCAGATCGGCATAATTTAACAATTGCTCAAACTCACAATCAGATTTTTGGTAAGTAAATTCTGACTTGCAACTCAATTTGGCAAGATTGGTTTAGCAGTTATTGATGTGAAGAGACAGATCCATAAATCCTCCAACTCTAGTCATGTACTAGTGTGTTGTCAGGTTTGGTAATGATTGGCAGGAAACTGTTACCTGGGAAAAAAGGAAGAAAATGAAACAGAGAACTCGTATATACCTTAAAAAGAGAAGTGGCAGCATTTTATTTGGTAGATAAAAATTTTCTGCGTACCTCCATGCAATATTCAATATCATTTATCATCAAATGATTTAGTATGTCTACAAGATGCAGTCAAGGTTGACAAAAATCAAAACATGTGAATGTCAAAGCGGGGTTAGGAAGTATGAAGTAATGATTTCAAAATAATATTGTCATGAATGATTAATTAAAACTATAAGAAGGATACTTGGATCTATGATTGTTGCCACATTGTCCGACTTCAACACTAGGATATACTCCTTACCCTGGAAAATAAAATGAATAACTTAGTAAAAACTGCACAAACAAATGTGCACATCTCACACAGTTGAATAATTCAAATTTAAGTATCCTATAGCTCTTGCTATAGATTTTAAAGGAACAGGACAAAGGCTTTGATACACCCAGCACTCAACTGCATAAAATGTTCATACCTGGGCCAATAATGAATCAAGGGTTCCACCAGCCATTAGTGAACGGAACACATCATCAAATGGATGCCTTCACACAGAGTTAGCAGGTTAGTTTAAAATGATAAAGTATTTATCAAGAAAGCCAATTAGCAAGTCATAGCCGACACAATTCTATAAATTGAAATATATATTCTGTCAATTGTTTTATTTACTGATAATTATATTTTGATCAGTTAACATAGCCAACTTTGTAGCTGAGTTGCTGACAAATTATTTGACATATCTAAATTTACAGCTATTAAATATTTACAGTTAATTTCTTTCAAAAATTAAAATATTAACCCTAGGTATTGCAAAGTAATATGATACTTAGACTTTCTCAACAATTCTCATATCTTTATAAAGTCCACTGTCTTATTTGCAAATTGCAATCCAATAAACAATAGCTATCTATCACCTACAATGTGGTATGGAAGGAAATCCATGCCGAGGAATTAAAAATTTTGAAGTGATAAATGCAAATATATCATGGAATAATAAAGAAAACTTGGAAAAGACATTTTTACATGCACTAATTTTTGCATCTCTAGGGCAAGCCATAGTAAGGTTGCTGCCTTTGTGACTGATAAGAACCTAGAGAGAATCACACCATTAAAGCTAGGCATTGTAGTTGGAGAGCCCAAGACCTTATAAACCACCATCAAAATTTCATACTTCCAATGTGGGACTCAAGTCCCATACCTTGCAATTGGATCCTAACAGTGACATAGAGGTCACAGGTTCAAAAGTACTAGAAACAACCTCACAGCATGCAGTGGAAAGGCTATGTATATCTACCCTCCCTAAACCCCACTAGGTGAGAGCTTTGTGCACCAGGTCACCTTTTTTATGTTTTTCATGTCAAACCAAATTTACATGTTAGTTAAAACATGATGTGACTAGACCTAATCATAGGTTATCAGGATTCATAGATCAACTACACCAAATTTGCACAGTCAACCTTGCCTGCCTCACAATAATTCAGAGAAGGGTCAAGCAAACAGAAAATAGCTAATCCAATGTCCCTAAGCTTTGGTTCCACATCTAAATTGCTGCTATTAACATATAGACTATATCAGGGTAACACTAATCAGTAATCACAGTATTTATAACATTATAACAATATCAATCAATCAGTACTGAAACGATATATCTTTACAAACTTGCACATAAATATCTAGTCTAGAATTCAATTTAATAGACATATATTTGAAAGATGACATACACTTCTCCCTTGCTGTTTTGTCCACCCGATAATTTCAATTCTGGACCTTCACCCTACATAACATAGATTATGATGTATTGATAGTGAGAAATCACAAATCAATATCTATATATCCAAAGTATGAAACAAATGCAAACCTGTTTAAAAGTGTGCACTTCAATGCTTGATTTTGAATACTTTTCCAAAACCTATGGAAGATGAAGCTGAAGATTTCAATAGTAGCTGAGGTCATCAATTGCATATGGAAATTGAAATGGCATTTCACCTTTAGAGAACTATCATGAACGTTATCTTTGTTGAAAAGAAGCAGCGGAACCCTGCATCCATACTTGGAGTTGAGGGACTACAAATTGCAACAACAGAATAGTAAGAACCAAAAACAACCAGTCGAAACCATGTATTAAGGGAACATAAGAGTTGCAGATACAGTTTGAGGTGTGTTCAGAATCTGGATCATTCAAGAAAAAAAAAAAAAAAAAAAAATAAATGACAATAGAAAAGAAAACAGTATTGTTATAATATTCTCACGAGTCTTGTCAGTAATTCACAATAAAACTTTTATAACTATTGCATAAGATGAAACAAAATAATATATGTTGTCATAATATATATATACTTACATGTTTATCTTGGTTTCGAGCAATCTCCCGAAGCTGCATAGATTATCAAACATAGTGTTAAGCCAAAGTTGTTTCCCAGTGTATGTCTTAAATTTTCTGGATTAAAACTTTTGCAATATATGCTCATATATAATAGGTTAAGCTTACACACATATTGAAGACCAGTTCATTAAGCATCAGGCAATTCCAAGACTAGCACAAAATATTGAAGAGACTAAAGGGGGCAAGTAACAATGAAGGGAGAGAAAATATACCTTAAACTTCATTGTGGTTAAGATTAAATTAAATGATCGGCTTGGGGTCACCTGGGAAAAAAGGAAGAAAATGAAACAGAGAACTCGTATATACCTTAAAAAGAGAAGTGGCAGCATTTTATTTGGTAGATAAAAATTTTCTGCGTACCTCCATGCAATATTCAATATCATTTATCATCAAATGATTTAGTATGTCTACAACGATCTTGTGAGTGAAACCGCGATTTTGACTACCTTAATTCCTTTCAAATATCACTAGAAAAAATTCATAGTTATAAACAAAAAATAATGATATCATCATCGACAAGCAAATCATTTTCAATAAAAAGAAGCACAAGATTATAATATCTGAATACGAATACTCTTTCTCCGGTGTCAAATATAAGGGGGAAAAACAGGTATATTAGTCTAAAAAATAAGCAAATTTCAACTAATTTCACTATATTTATTTATATCATCCTCAAAATACCCCTTCATTTAATTGAGAGTGTATTTCCAATGACCTTTTCTATACTTGGTATTGAGTTCCAATGAAGGATAGTTTACGAAAATGGGTTCTTATTTAAATGGAATTAGCAAAATTAAATGATGTTAACTAACTTTCTTAGTTTAGGAAAATATGGTTATTGTTATGGGAAACAACTTTGGCTTAACACTATGTTTGATAATCTATGCAGCTTCGGGAGATTGCTCGAAACCAAGATAAACATGTAAGTATATATATATTATGACAACATATATTATTTTGTTTCATCTTATGCAATAGTTATAAAAGTTTTATTGTGAATTACTGACAAGACTCGTGAGAATATTATAACAATACTGTTTTCTTTTCTATTGTCATTTATTTTTCCTGATTGTTGTGTTGAAGTTGCAGGACAATTTCAAACTTATCGATACAACAAACATGTGAGTGAAATGCTGTTTTTCTATTTTAATTTCTTATTGAAATTTATCATATGTGCTGAATTCCATGTGTTTTACTTTGCATAGGTGGGCGAGTTTAAGAGCTATCAAGAGATATGCCGACACTGATGAATCAAAGCACAAGAGGCACTCAGATTTGAAGGTATCACTCCCTTGCTGTCATTAGTTCATTACTCTACTGATAGCTTATGTAAGTTATCACACATCTCAAATTATTTTAATTCGTAATTATATAAGTTTCACATAAAAAAAGAAGATGTTTGTTTGTGATATAGATAAATTCGTAAGAACAAAGTTATCATACATCTCAAATTATTTTAATTTGTAATTGTAAAAGTTTCGGACAAAGAAGAATTGGTCGTAAAGACAGACAATAACTTACAATAAAAATAAAATTAACACGATTATATATATATTTATAATGAATGATGATTGAGAAAAAAGATTTTATTAAAAATAATTAAATTGTCGGATACAAATTAATCATTAAAAAAAGTTGATAAATAGTTGGTATATATAGATATGAATGATAAAAAGAATTATATGTTTATAATTTATAGGGGAAGCCATGGAGAAATTTGTGGAGCTGTGTGTGCCACTTCACAAGCATGCCCTAGAAGGCAACTGGGCAGCAGCAAAACGCATCCTAGACGAAGGGTTGGCCCACAGTGCTGCATGTTGCTGCTGGTGCAAACCACGTTGACTTCGTTGACCAATTGCTCCAAGTACTCGACAAGGAACACATGGAATTGCAAGACATCAAGGGCAACACAGCATTCTGCTTCGCCGCTGCGTCTGGGAACATGGACATTGCTCGCTTGTTGCTGCACAAGAACTCATTCTTGCCTCTCATCAGAGGCGGAAATGGACGCACCCCTCTTCACTTCGCTGCCATGCAAGGAAGATGCCACATGACCCGCTTTTTGTATGATCTCACCAAACCTGTCTTTCAGGATCAGGACTGCCAACTCTTGTTCTTCACTTCTATCCACACTGCCAACTATGGTACGTCATCAATGTTCCCACATGAGTGTCTATTTCGAAAAAAGTCTTGATCATGAAAATTTTGACTTTTTAAGTATCAAAATATTCCTAACATTTTTCAAAGAGATAAGTAATAGATAAGTAATAGTTTATTAGTGCTCATCCTAGCTTGATATGGGAAGTGGACAACCAAAACCAAAGTATAATTCACACAGCGGTTTCGCATCGCCATGCTAGCATATTCAATTTAGTGCATGAAATAGGGTCACATAAGGATATCATAGTAACATATATAGTGGAAGGAAGTAACACATTATTGCATTTGGCTGCAAAATTAGCCCCACAAGGCCAACTTGAATTAGTTTCTGGAGCAGCATTCCAAATGAGCCTTGAGTTAATATGGTTTGAGGTAATAATAATTAGTACATGAATAAAGACTTTAACAATCACCGAGACTTCTAATTTATGCTTTGAACTTCTAAATTGTAGTTGTTGGGATACGAGGTTCATTCACTACATTCATCTATACTTACTCAACTCGATATATATGTGACAGGAGGTGAAGAAGATAATGCCACCATCATTCATAAAATTGAGAAATTCTGAAAGCTTAACTGCTCAAGAATTGTTCACTAGGGAGCACGAAGAACTAAGAAAAAAGGCAGAGGATTGGATGAAACGCACTGCTGAATTTTGCATGCTTATTTCGACCGTTATTGCAACAGGAGTGTTCTCTACTGCAATCAACATACCAGGTGGCATCGATGATCAAACGAAAAAACCAAATTACTTAGACAAAACCTCGTTCCTAGCATTTGCAATATCAGATGCAACTGCATTCATCTCATCTGCAGCTGCAATATTAATATTCTTTTCTATTCTTATATCACGTTATGCAGAGTATGACTTTTACAAGTCATTGCCCTTGAAGTTAATTTTCGGATTGATAACGCTATTCATCTCCATAACATG